TCCATTAACAGAATGAAAGAAAACAGCATAATATGATCCTCTCTCTGAACACAGAACACATTTGACTCTGAGAGAAAGCAAACTCTTCAACATAATCAAAGTTTCCAGTCAAGAGCCCATAGACAGCAACCTATGATCAAAGAATGAAAACATTCCCCATGATCAGGGACAAAACAAGGTGTTGTTACACTTCTTTCACTGTTTTTGCTAGTGCTGTTCACTGTTTTACTAGAGGACCTAGCCAGAGTAATTAGGCATGAAAAAGAAATACGTATCCAAATTAGAAAAGAAGAGGCAAAACTATCTCTGTTTGCAGATGACACGACTCTAGATGTAGACAGTCACACAGAACAGACTAATTCAAGCAAGTTGCAGAGTGCAAGGTTAGCATGCAACAATCATTTGTTTCTATATGCCCGCAATGAATGATACTGACAGGAAATTAACAAAACAATTCTATTCACAAAATGGAACAATATGACCATAATAATATTTATAAAAATTACAAATTTTGGAATAAATTTAACAAAAAAGATGAAAGATTTCTAATTCTAAAGCATTGCTGAAAAGTATTAAAGAATAAACAGAAGTGAGCCCATATTCATAGACTGACAGATTTACTATTTGCAATACTTTCAAAAACAGTAAAGATACTTCAGAAAAAGACCAAAATGACCACAACTCCAATAACAACAGCAGTGAGAAACCACCAATGAGGGCAAGCAATTAAACACAGGAAAAGTAGGAAACCAACAGCAGAAAAATAACATGACAAAGATAAGCTAAGACATATCAACTGTAACTACCAATGTAAATGGCCTCAATTCACCAATTAAATGAAATAGACTGGCAGAGTGGATCAAAGAACAAAATCCAACTATGTGCTGTACAAAAGAAATGCATTTAACTCAAAAAGATATTCACAGGCTGAAAGCCAAAGGCTGGAATATAATACTACATGTGCCAGGAGTGCAGAAAAAAACAAGAGTAGCTATTCTGTTCACAGACAATGTGAACTTCAAGCCAAGAATGATCAAACAAGATAAAGATGATCACTACATACTTGATAGGGGAAAACTCCAAGAGGAAGAGATACCCACCATAAATATTTATTGACCCAAA